AAAATGGTGTCAAGTAGACTGAATCTATGAGACCAAGGCTGAATAATTTGCTATGCTAAACTTAGCTATATCTGGTAGATTTGGAACCAACTCCTTTTAGATACTCTGCTTGTATTATTAATAGTTTTATTTATAGTATATGAAATAATTATTTCCCGGAAAAGGAAAGCGATTTATTATCTGTCACATTGATAGTGAAAATGGCTTTGTGCTCAATGCTCTATTCGCATTTGAGTCATAGCAAATGACCGACTATCACTTTTTTTTCTTGGTCTCCAAGGAACAAATTCTGCAAGCCCTCTGTCGGATAAAAAATACCTCGCCAGGAAGTGACGGAATTTCAGTCCGTTTACTTAAAATGTGTATTCCAATCATATTGCCTTTTCTCGTCCACATTACTAATAGTATTCGTTTAGACGGAAAATATCGCACCGCCTGGAAAACAGCTCTAATAACTCCAATCCCTAAGGGTAAAGATGTCAAACAACTTGCAGATCTTCGCCCTATCAGTATCTTACCTGGCCTTTCAAAGTTAGTGGAAAAAATAATAGAATTACAGCTACGTGACCACATAACCAGAAACAAAATTTTACCTAGTACTCAGTCAGGTTTTCGTCAAGATTATAGCTGTACTACAGCTTTGGCACACATTACAGAAGATATAACAGCTAATGACAACAGTAACTGTACTGCACTAGTTTTGTTAGATTATAGCAAAGCACTTGATACTATAAATCATGACGTTCTGATTGCAATACTTGAATCATGTGGGGTATCAGGTAATAATAAATCGTTATTCGAATCTCACCTTAGCGATAGAATGCAACATACGAAGATCAATAATAATCTCTTGCGAGTAAGGACAATAAATCAAGGGGTGCTGCAGGGTTCGATACTCGGACCGCTGTTATTCACGCTATATACTAGTCAGCTTTCCAAATCCCTTGAATACTGTAAGCCTCACATGTATGCAGATGATACTCAAGTGTACCTTTCATTCTATGGTGATGATTGGAAAATGGCGGAGTTTAAAATCAATGCTGATCTTGATGCTCTATTTAAAACTTCTAATGATCATTCAATGTCACTGAATCCAAAAAAATCAGCAGCAATAATTTTTGGGAAAGATATGTCAGAGATAATGAACAATATGACGCTACATATAGATAATGTTCTAATACTGTTCTGCGATTCTGTTAAAAATTTGGGTCTTATAATAGATTTTAAGTTCAGATTTAAAAGGCATATTTCAATATGTATACAAAGAGCGTACTATGCACTCAAGCTGCTTTACCCTCATAGACACTTTCTTAGCAGAGACATCAAGCGAATGCTATGAGAAACGATGGGTTTGTCCCAGTTTTGGTATGGTGCTCCTGTCTATTATCCATGCTTGGATGCTGATACGATATCTAGAATTCAGCGTGTTAAAAATTCATATATAAGGTACATTTTCGGTATAAGGAAATATGACAGAGTTAGGCATAAGCTGAAGGATTTACAGTGGTTGAACATGAAACAGCGTTCAGAACTATTAACACAATGTTTCTACAATAATATTTTGTCCAGCAAGTCACCGCCATATTTGTATGAAAAAGTCATGCTTAGAGAATGTCTTCATTCTGTCAATGTTCGTTCGTAACCGAATATTTCTGCTCCATTCCATCGAACATGTTATTTCGAACGTGGCTTCTCTTACAACATCTATAAATTATACAACTCCATCTACCAGCAAATCAAAAATATGAAAGGTTGCAAATTCAAGGCAGCTCTGAGACGGTTCCTTTTAGATAAGTAGGTAATTAATTTCACTGATAATACTGTAACATTTAGCTTTTTTGGATGAATCTCATGATTATATGATGGAATATTTTCAGTTTTATATTTTCAGTGTTATTTGTTTTTTGTACTCATGCTTTTTTTTCTGCTCTCCTATAGTTAGTAGTAGTCATGTAACAGTTGATATCACTATTTTAAAATAGAGCAAGAGATGAGTGGAAGAGTACGCAGGTCGTGAACTCCCCCTTGAGATTCGAGAGCAATTATTCCTTTTTGTTGAACACTATTTTTGTATGCATTGTCTCTTCGAATAAAGCCATTGATTATTATTATTATTATTAAGAAATGGACGGAAGTTCATTTGTACGACAGTTTGAAGAAACGCTCCTAAAGCTTGACGACAGTGCCATCATTGTACTTGATAATGCTGCATATCACACTAGAAAACTAGAAAAAGTTCCCACAATGTCCACAAGAAAGGCAGAAATACAACAACGGATCCTATCAAAAGACATTAGTTTCAATGAAAATATGGTCAACGCAGAACTTATCCACCTAGTCAGGCAGCACAAATATAAATATAATCTTAATTTTATTGACGAAATGGCTAAAAACCAAACTAAGACCGTTTTAAGGCTACCCCCTTATCACTGCGAATTAAATCCCATTGAAGTGATTTGGGCAAATATAAAAACTATGTGGCTTCAAACAATATAGCATTCAAATTTTCTGATGTGAAAAATTTGTTTTATGAAGCTGTTAACAGAGTGACGGCAAACCATTGGAAATATTGGATTTGTCACGTTCAAGGGACAATCGAAACAAAGGTGTGGGATCTGGACAATATGACTGACAGCCAAATTGAACCTGTAATGATTAATATTAACCGTTCGGACGATGATTCAAGTGCTTTCAGTGAATAAAGAATTGTGAAAAGTATGTGCACTTCTGTCTATAAAATTATTTTGTTAGATTATTCATGGAGCTTGGTTCTAAATGAGTTTCAACCGTCGAAATTAATTTCGACGGCGACTTGTGACGATACATTTTGTTCGCTGTGATTATTTTGACATCTGATTACATCGGTCTTTTATATTCATATCATCGTAGCAGTGTCAAAATTATCACAGCGAATCATGTATATCGTCACGAGGCGCCATCAAAATTAATTTCAACGGTCGAAACTAATTTACTTTCCCTGTTACAGACTTTTTAGACGTTGATCGCCTACGTATCATAATAGCGAAGTGTTCGCACCAGACAAAATATATTTTAACCCCCGTATAATCTATTTATTCACATTTTCCACTTTTTGCTTTTTCCCGTTCCATTTCGATTATTACGCGTTTTATTCGCAAAGTTGTACTGTTTAAATAAAGTCCATAAACTTTGGAATTACCCCTACAAATTTTACTTCTGAGAAGTTTATCGGGAGTCAAAAGGAATTCGCAAGCTAAGCATAACATTAATATACATGTTTAAACACGACAATGGCCACGTGACTCTCACACACAGGCCGCTTCGAACTTTTTCAATTAACATGAATTTTTCAGTTCGCAAGAAGTTTTAACGAGCTGTTTTTTCATAGAGGGCGACAAGTAGAGATGTCCCGCGAAGTATAATTGATTATTGGCTCGAACAGTAGTGAAAGAACTGCCATTTGCTGTTGCCTCAAAAGTTTCTATAGAAACTTTGAGCTTCTTGAAGGACACTGCTTTAGGACTACGAAGCTTTGGAGCTTTAGAAGGAAATAATACTTACCGACGTCCTCTTTACAAAGGTGTACCGCATTCCGTGGGCAGTATGTCGTGAAACGATACTTTGAAGGATGCTTTGCAAATTTTGAATATACAGATGGTTGAATCTCCTCCAAATCCGAAATTTGGGCAGAAGGAAGCAACTACTAAAATAGCGTCTCGGAGTATCTTGACAGACTGTACCTCAGAACTACATAAATCCTGACGAGTCGTGTAACAGAATAAAAAGATGAAATTCGGTGTTACGAAGAGCTTGTTAGCAAGCTTCATTCTGGGTGTCGCAGAGTAACACCTCAAAGTCCCACATTAATATAATTATCAATTTCTGATATAATCTTTCACACCATACTGTAGAACAAAAAATAATGCCACCAGTTCCCATTAAAAATGTTCTTCTGGGCCCGCTACAGAGATATAGGCTCCTCGAAGATGCTTCTGGAAACTTTTGAACGTCACTGTATATAATGTAACGAAACTACCTAGTTGGAGCTTTACTTGATGGTGTCCATGGAGATCAATGAATTCATTTAGAATACCACTGGCGAACTATCCCTAACGCAATATTACTAATATTCTTTATTCTCTGTATAATGATGGTTCAGAAATAACAAATACTCTTAGAAGCCCTCAATTCTGCTGCTGTCAATTTACAATGTAGCCACTTCCCAAATGGTCACCCAACTAACAATTATCACTCCTATTAAAGTTGCAAGAATGATTATAGAGTATTCCTTAAACAGCATTGTATACTGTAAGAACATTGGAAAAATTTAAGAGGTTAAATAAGGGCTGCAGGTAACAGTTATACAACAAAAGTGTAAGCCTCTTGCAGCCGCTATAGGACATTTGCGTCAGTGCAAGATTCATTGTCAACTATTCTGTTACGTGATTCTACTTTATTGCAACCAAACTATTTCTTATTTATTGTATAGACGAAGTGAAGAATATATAACTAACACATTACTGTCATCTTGTTTACTTACATATCGGCCATTGTGAATTTCGTTCACAGGTATATGATAAACATCTACAGTGTGATATAGGGCTATTGAATTACTTGCGCAGCGAATTTTATTGTCATTGTCGTGCAAATTAGTTACCCAATTTCTACGGGCTACGTATTTGATTCATATTTTGACAATGATCAAAAGTATGTCTAGATTTTTAAGATGGAAAGCTGAACTTATCTGCGTTAAATCTTCAACAAATCCTATATTTAGACACAATTACACTAATGTTTATCACTTTATATCTGTAATTTCGAACTGAAACATGATTATTTAATATTAAATAGAGGAATAAATGAGGAGCAGACTTGCAAATTGCATTTTGTCCATTTTTACCAATTTTCAGGAGAAGCAAAAAACCAGTAGGGGAGAGTGTTGTACCTTGGACCATATTGTACCTCGGACCGCTTCGAATTCCCCTATTTCCTCTTACAGTTTTCTTTCACCCAGATCACCGATGAGTTACATACTTTTACACTACAGATGTCGCCCAAAGTAATTTGACAAGAAGGCGGGCTGTTCTAAGTTATACCACGTTTGCATATTATTGAGTGTCAAAGTAAATATTAATCAAATAATAATCTTTGATCACCTGTGTTATTTTGAAGGGTAAGTAAATTGTTTTATGTTATTTTTGTACATCTTTCATTCCTCCTTGCATATGTGTGAATAGTTTTTGTATACATTGATTTTTGTTTGTTTATTTAACCAGAACAATTTTTATTGTAAAAATTGTACCTTGGACCATGTGCAAAAGTTGTACCTTGGACCGGTCCAAGGTACAATACACTTTTGTATCGATAAAATTGCTTGTAAATAAATAGTTCTTTTTTATTTTAAACGTAAACCCATGTTTAATTCTTTTCAGATTGCTCAAAAATGCCTCGAAGTCAAAGTGGAAAAAAGCGTGACAAAGTTGATTCGGAACAATTGACAAGAGCTGTACAAGAATGCGTGAATGAAGGTATTGCCCTTCGGGAAGCAGTAAGGCGATATGGAGTATCAAAAACCACGTTAATTAGACACATTCGTTCCTTCAAAAACTCAGGAGCGGACAGATTTACGTACAGCGCAAATAACAATGTGAAGCAAGTATTTTCGAAAAATGAGGAGGAAGCACTGACAACTTATTTAATCATGGCTGCACGTCTTCATTATGGGTTAACCAAGGTTGAAGTAAGAAAATTAGCCTACCAGTATGCATCAGCAAAGGAGAAGCGGTGTCCTGACACCTGGAATGAGAAGAAAATGGCGGGAAAGGAATGGTTACGACAATTTATGAAACGGCACTCAAATTTGTCTCTCCGAAAACCTGAATCGACTAGTTTAGCGAGATCCACGGCATTTAATCGAGTCAATGTAACGACATTTTTTGCAAATTATAAAAGTGTTTTGTCTAGAGGAACTTTTTCTGCAGAAAATATTGATGAGACCGGCATAACAACGGTACATGTTCCGCCTAGAATTATTAGTCCCAAAGGAGTCAAACAAGTTGGACAGATGACAAGTGGTGAGCGTGGCCAAAACGTTACTTTAATTGCTGCCATAAATGCACTTGGAAACGCGATCCCACCAATGCTGATATTTCCGCGGGTGCATTTCAAGGCCAATATGCTTAAGGGCGGCCCAGTTGGCTCGATTGGTGCAGCCAATCCATCAGGCTGGTCGAATGTAGATTTATTTTATAAGTTTATGCAACATTTTGCAAATCGCGTCAAGCCGAATATCGAGAAACCGACAATTATTCTATTAGATAACCATGATAGCCATATTAGCATCTCGACGATTGACTTTTGCAAAGCAAATGGAATTATGTTAGTGACATTCCATCCCCACACAAGCCACAAGTTTCAACCGTTAGACAGGACAGTGTTTGGGCCCTTAAAAACATACTATAACAAAGCTTGTAGTGAATGGATGTTAATGCACCCTGCTCAACCAATCACGATATATGACGTAGCGGAACTAATTGGTAAAGCATTCCCGCAGGCCTTTACGCCTTTAAATATTCAAAAGGGATTCAAAGTAGCAGGTCTTTATCCTTTCGACGAAAACATTTTCCAAGACCACGAGTTCTTAGCCAGTTATGTAACAGACCGTCCGTTAATTGAGAAATCTAATTCCAGTAGTGATGCATTACCACCCGCAAGTGCGGATGGATTACCATCTACAAGTTCAGATACATCCTTAGTTTCCATCCGAACAAGATCAGTCAGTCATCACCCCTGAGACATTGCGCCCATTCCCTAAAGCACCTATGCGAAAGAGAACTGGTGGTCGTCCAAAAGGCAAGTCGCGTATTCTTACGGATACACCAGAAAAAGAGGAATTAGAACGAAAACGCGATTTGAAGACTATTAAAAATGTTACCAAAAAATTTATCAAAGAAAGATCAGAAAGTCACGGTGAAAAAAAGAGCACTTGATTCCTCCGAAAGTGAGTCAATTCCTTCATTATCTTCTGGAGAGCATGAAACTTGGGAGGACATTATCTCTGAAGATAGAGAATGGCTAGAAATTGGTACTTTGCAACAGTTAAATGAAGACTATCAATTTCATAGAGGTGATTTTGTACTGGTAAAAGTATCAGGGAAAAAAACAATAAAATACTATGTTGGTGAGATCATAAGCATAGGCGATGAAAATGAACTTAGGTACCTGCGGCGAGTTAACAACACCGATAAATTTGTGAATGATTCTGCAGAGACATACGACTTTTGTCCTACCGACTTAGTTTGTAAGCTACCGCAACCGAAAACCCTAAAAGGGACTGCTCGACATAGCTCACTATTATATTTTGAAGTTAATTTTGACAATTATAATGATAGTTAAAGCCTAAAGTATTTTTAGAATGATTGTGTGTAGAATATTAAAATAAGTTTTATTTCTCTCATTACTTTCCTTTTTTGGACCAAGGTACAATCGTTTGTGGACCAAGGTACATGACGAGTTTGTACCTTGGACCGGTTTGTATTACTCACTAAATAGTGTGCTTGTGAGTTTTTAGTTTAATATTCCATGTCCGAATATAAAATAAATTAATAAGTTAATGCCACAGCCTCCTTATTTCTGCAAAATCAGTTCAGAAAACTTAAAACCAAAAAAAATACAGCACGATTTACAAAAATGGGTCCAAGGTACAACACCTTCCCCTACAGAAAAGCTAACCATGACAGAAAATTTTGTTCTGGATAATATAATGCTATCAGGTGTATCGACCTCAATCACAAGTTTTGGTACAAGAAAGTCGAAAAACAAGTTGAAAAAATTGAAAAAATTGTTGGACAGAATGCAGTTTGATTGTCTCTAGTGGACAAAATGCAATTTAAATGTCATTGTCAAGTTAACAATAATAAAAAATTTGGTTTTATTTAAAAAAAGGTGTATATTGAAACAACAAAACAAAATTTGTAAGTATTACAATAATATTAGGAGTAAACAATTTTATTTTTAAAGGAATTCATTATCATCATTCTCAGCGCATCCACAAGCTTCTTCGTCATTTTCGTGCTCTTCATCGTCATCATTACAGTTTGCCACAGTTTTCTCAAATATTTCAGCCATCCATTTCAGCTGCGGGTCTGTTTCATACCATTTGTCACCAGACAATGAAACAAGTAGGTTTTTTAGACTATCAAGCTTTTTCTGCTTTACTTCATGTCCAAGTCGTACTTTAGGAAGTTCAATTTGATCCAACCGCTTTTTAGGTTTCAACAAAGTTTGGAATTTTTTCGCTGGATCATCCGTTCGATACAGCAATTCAGATTTCACCACAACGCCTGAGGGCTTTCCCCGTTTGATGATTATTCTTTTACTTGAACTAATTCCTAGGACTTTTTTCAAACAGATGGAAGCTTCTTTTATATTCACCAATGACCAATCAGTTCCAAGTTTTCTGATTTCACCTACTTGTTTGTAGAGTTCCCAATATTTTTCAGGTGTTTTTATGACCGCGTGTCGTCTTAAAATCTTTTCCACCCTCCCAAAAATTCTATCTGCCGGAAGATAAGAGTGTCCTCGCACTGGGAAGATAACTTCTATTTTTTTAATTGTTTCTGGAGCAAAGCGGTGTAACCATAACATTAGCATGTGGATGGTAAAGCTATTTTTATTTTGCCCCCCGCATCCATCGGAGAAGAGCCGAAGAGTGTCTATATTCGGGGAAAAATTGGTCTTTTTCAAAAAATCAAGCAGGGCGGAAGATATTTCTGTCGCTCCCCTGCCAGCTTGGTGTTCCATCCATGAATAAAAAACAGGGTTTTTACAGTTTGTGGCTGTAACGCAAAAAAAGTAAAATGACAGCTGCTGTGCATAAAAAGCATCTTGTATGGGAACTTTTGGGAGAACCTGCACTTGTTGCAAGTCAAAACAAAAAGACACTGAGTTAGGAGATGCTTCTTTCATCATTTTATGGAACTGAGATGCTCTAACCTTGTGAACTTTTAACTGGGTCTCAAGTTGGCCTTTATCGATAATATTCCTCGCATTACCGATTTGCGTTGCTGTTTTAACACAAAAATTACATACATCTGTAGCCGGGCTACCAAAGCCTATGTTGAAGTGATTACTGAAGACCCTGCTAAAGTATTTATAATTTACTTTTTTTTCATTAGTCACTTTTTCATTATAGAAGTTGCAAAGTTTAGCAATGGTGTATTCGGCAGACAAGTAGATTCTTCTTGATTTAGAACGGCTGTAGTGACTTTCTTTCCCTTTCAGGTTGCTTATAAACTTTTTCACCTCATTTAATTTGTTGATAAATTTGTGAGATTTTCTATCGCCTCCTCTTTTTTCAGTAAGACTTGATCCCATTTTTATTTTCTGACATATTGTGTTTATTCGCCTTTGAGACACGCTGAACATAGCTCTAAATAGTTTCTGGCAAATTTGTTTTTTATCACCTTCAAAAAATATCTGAAAAAAAACGAGAGTAAGTCACAGTTTAAAATACATTTCAGATGGTTATACTTACGAAATAATTTACGGAAAAATTATGGGACTTTCCATTTTCTTTGCGACTTCGTTTTCGTTTTGGCTCCTTAATCTCCATGTAGCTTGCAAGCAAGTTGTCCTGCGTAATTTTGTTAGGACTCTCGAAAAAGGTTTGGCGGATTTTCAGCATAGCTCCTTTCGATAATTCTTCGCAATCAAGATTAGAATTTTTATGATTACAAACTACGTTGAAATTGTCTAGATTGATGTCCAAATTGGAATACCTTAAAAGTGAAACGGAAAATAATAAAATATTTTAGGCTTATAACCTAACAAATACCTTATTTGTTTTTTTCTCTCACGGCTTGTTGTATTCCTTTTTCTTTTCCTACTACCCCTATCCACACTATCACCAACAATATGCTCCCCTTCTAACTGTTCCATTTTGATCCAAAAGCAACACTACTTCAATGTTTTAACAATTAAAACTTGAAAAAGTCTCCAAGGTAACACCGAACTATAACAACAGATTCTGATAAAATAAACAAAAACCCCATCAAAATGCATTTTGTCAACGTTTATGGACAAAATGCACTTTGAAAGTACCATGTGAGTGGACTTAAATCAGTTTGTTTGTCTAGGTATAATTTTCCCCTCAATAACACGGGGACTAAATACATTTTGACTGTTCAAATGTTTAAAAAAAGATAGTATTTCATCATAGGAATGCAGCGCCACCTGTATCTCAAATATGGAAAATTTGGACAAAATGCATTTTGCAAGTCTGCTCCTCTAATGTTTGCCCAATATGGCGGGTGGTTGTGTACAATCATGGCATCGTCCGTGTTGTCTTTAGGTTATTAGAATATTTTGGTCTTGCCTGCAGGTGTTATACCTACAACAATTTGACAAATGTCTGAAATGAAATACCGACAGAGTCGAAAGATTTACCCAGAATTTGTACCAGATCTATATCTTCTGTTTGAGCAATTGATAAAACCTTTTGAACCAATATGCATGCGTTGTTTGTATTAAAACATTTATTATGGCACTTTAGCATCTTACAAAAATATGACAGCAGAAAGTTAGGTTATGGTGAAGTTGTTTACCAACATATTTAGCATATGTACAGCCTTTAACAGTTACTAAACAATAGTTGTATAAGTGCTTCCATTGGGAGCAATTTGTTGGCTAAGGTAGTAAATTGCACAGCAAAACAAGGCTCGGGTTTGTTTTATAAACGTCACCATGGATGCCACCACACGACCATTTCGACTAACGTGCAAATATGCCGCATAAAATAGTTGTATAAACGTTTATGCAACAGTTAAAAATTTGCCACAGAATTTGTTGTATAACTATGCTATAAGAATATTTTAAACACATTTTAGGGCAAATATGTTGCAGAAAGCAAACTTGCATTCCACACAACATTAGTCCAGCATTTTGGTGTTCAGGCAACAACAATAGAGAGCTTTTATGGTTGAACGTTTCTTTTACCAAAAGCTTATACCACTACTTTGCTAGTTGGGCAGACTTGAGTCTAAAGGTCAATGAATTGGCTAGAGAATTCATGTCCTGAGGTTTTTCGATTTACTTATTATGAATGGGTTATCACATATTCCCAAGATTATGCAACCAGTATACCAGATCCAGTACCAAAATTGATAGAGCTTTACTAAAGCAGAAGTGTTTTCCTCAAAAACAATCCATTTTATCGATCTTAAACAAAAGTATATTTTTTCAGTTCATAGATCAGGCTTAATATAATTATCAATTTCTGACATAATCTACCGCACCATGCTGTAGCACAAAAAATAATGCCATCAATTACCATAAAGAAATGTTCTTCTGGACCCCTTACAGAGATATAGGCTCCTAAAAGATGCTACTGGAAACTCTTGAATGACACTCTGTACAATGTGTCTGCGAAAGGTTGTAAAACCTTGCAGCTGCAGTTACCACAGATCAAAATATGTGAATTGACCTAAGCATCCCTTAGTCCAAAAGTTGATAATTTAGATACAGAGTTACAATTTTGTTTTCTATTTTTCCTTATTGCTTTTGAAGTATTTCAGATTTTGGCATAAAGCTCGGTATAGAGAGATTTTCTAGTATAAGAAACAAAAATCCGTTATTTTTTATGGCCAAACTCCTAGAGGGCGCCACTTACAGCACCATTTTGGTAAATAGCTCATCATTACTTTTTTGTGCTATCCTGCATACAACAGCAACAACAAAATCTTATTTTTCCGTATTTCCACAACAAAAAAGGTTTACTTGTAAGAAGTGTCTGAAGCTAATAGTTTTCGAGATATTTGTTTTTAAAAATTCCAAAGCATTATTTGTACCAAGATGATAAAACATTTTTATAACATAATGATCAACTTGCTTTGGATAATATCTGAGTAGCATCGCTATGGTTTATAATATTTGTCATAATATTGCTTTAAACTTCATGAAGAAACTTTAATATGACAATAAGTTGTTGAACATCATGGAGTATACGTTTGATGATTATTCTGGTATACATTTGATGTACGGCAAGATTGGCAAGATCTAATGCTTTAAAAGCACGAAGATTGTACGCTGGCAGATTCCCTAATAGAAACCTGCCTAATTCAAAGACATTCCAGCGAATCGATCAGCGGTTACGAGAACCTGGTAAGAAATGATTATAGCCTTATTTTGTGTAGTTTTGCTCAAAATATGAGCCGCCATAGTGGAGCTCCCAGAACTTTACGTACAGCTGAAGTTGTAGAAAGTGTTTTAGATGCCGTCTTTAAAATCCTACAGTTGAGGTTAGGAATATAGGTCGAGAATTTCAAGTGAAATGTACAGCGAATACCATTTTTCAAGAGCATCTGCTCCACTCATACAATGGTTTTACTTCGTTAATA